GTTTAGGGTCAGGTGTGAGGTTAGGTTTAGAGTCAGGTATGTACCTGTGACGTTAGGTTTAGGGTCAGGTATGTACCTGTGAGGTTAGGTTTAGAGTCAGGTATGTACCTGTGAGGTTAGGTTTAGGGTCAGGTGTGAGGTTAGTTTTAGGGTCAGGTGTGTACCTGTGAGGTTAGGTTTAGAGTCAGGTATGTACCTGTGAGGTTAGGTTTAGGGTCAGGTATGTACCTGTGAGGTTAGGTTTAGAGTCAGGTATGTACCTGTGAGGTTAGGTTTAGGGTCAGGTATCTACCTGTGAGGTTAGGTTTAGAGTCAGGTATGTACCTGTGAGGTTAGGTTTAGGTTCAGGTATTTACTTGTGAGGTTAGGTTTAGAGTCAGGTATGTACCTGTGAGGTTAGGTTTAGAGTCAGGTACAGTATGTACTTGTGAGGTTAGGTTTAGGATCAGGTACAGTATGTACCTGTGAGGTTAGGTTTAGGTTCAGTTGTGTACCTGTGAGGTTGGGGTAAAGTGTCAGTATTATGCTGTAGATATAATGGAAGTCAATGCAGTGTCCCCATAAAAACAGCTGTACTAGACCAGGTGTGTGTGTGAAATAGTGAGTGTACACATGAGACAGAATGATCCAAAAAGCAGCAGGGTGTGGAGAACTCAAGCTGATGAAGGTGCTCCGGTTCACAGTGACCCACTCATTGGTATAAAATAAGACAGAAGAGTTTCTCCTCTTCCTCCCAGTGTTAATATATGTTGATGGATCTGCTGCTTTGGACCATTACACYTTGTTTTTCAGCTCAGCAGGGAACAGTGACATGTGATAATTGGCTGTGTCCTGTCAGGACACCACGGCCAACCAAACTCAGCAAGAAAAAAATCGAGTTTGCGCCTAGCTTTGCACATGCAAAACAACTTTTGCTCCATGTATTCAACACATACAAACAGGCTTCAGAGTGCAGCACAAACTTTGCTGCATTCAGTCTGAAAGTCCCATAATGGTCCAGGAGACCCAAAGCAGATTTTATGATAACTGCTATCTGTGACTCATTACAGATACATTCAAATTTAGCAGTTCTATGTGTGTCACCCTCTCAGCATGTTGCACTTCCTCTGCTGCTGAGAACATCAGACATCATTAGAGAAATATATAAAAAAAAGATCATGGCCAGCAGCAACAAGAAAGATTTCAGTTTTTCCACTTTCACCTATTAACATTTGAGAAAAGMAGA